GGTTTGGAACCAGTCTGTTCTTCCATGTCCAGTTCTAACTGTTGTTTTCTGACCTGTATACAGATTTCTCAAGAGGCAGATCAAATGGTCTGGTATTCCAATCTCTTGAAAAATTTTTCACAGTTTGTTGTGATCCACACAGTCAAAGGCTTTGGCATAGTCAATAAATCAAAAGTAGATGTTTTTTCTGGAACACTTTTGCTTTTTTGATGATCCAGCAGATGTTGGCAATTTGATCTCTTGTTCCTTTGCCTTTTCTAAATCCAGCTTGAACATCTGGAAGTTCACAGTTCACATACTGTTGAAGCCTGGCTTGGAGAATTTTGAGCATTACTTTACTAGCATGTGAGATGAATGCAATTGTGCAGTAGTTTGAGCATTCTTTGGCATTGCCTTTCTTTGGGATTGGAATGAAAACTGACCTTTTCCAGTCCTGTGGCCACTGCTGAGTTTTCCAAATTTGCTGGCATATTGAGTGCAGCACTTTCACAGCATCATCTTTCAGGATTTGAAATAGCTCAACTGGAATTCCATCACCTCCACTAGCTTTGTTTGTAGTGATGCTTCCTAAGGCCCACTTGACTTTGCATTCCAGGATGTCTGGCTCTAGGTGAGTGATCACACCACCGTGATTATCTGGGTCGTGAATATCTTTTTTTTACAGTTCTTCTGTGTATTCTTGTCACCTCTTCTTACTGTCTTCTGCTTCTGTTAGGTCCCTACCGTTTCTGCCCTTTATTGAGCCCATCTTTGCATGAAATGTTCTCTTGGTATCTCTAATTTTCTTGAAGAGATCTCTAGTCTTTCCCATTCTATTGTTTTCCTCTATTTCTTTGCACAGATCACTGAGGAAGGCTTTCTTTTTTCTCCTTGCTATTCTTTGGAACTCTGCATTCAAATGCAGTATTCAAATGGGTATATCTTCCATTTTCTCCTTTGCCTTTTACATTTCTTCTTTTCTTAGCTATTTGTAAAGCCTCCTCAGACAGCCATTTTGCCTTTTGGCATTTCTTTTTCTTGGGGATGGTCTTGATCCCCTGCCTCCTGTACAATGTCATGAACCTCTGTCCATAGTTCTTCAGGAACTCTGTCTATCAGATCTATCTCTTGAATCTATTTGTCACTTCCACTGTATAATTGTGTTTGCTATGACCAGTGCCTTCTCTTGGCAAAACTTTGTTAGCCTTTGCCCTGCTTAATTGTGTACTCCAAGGCCAGATTTGCCTGTTACTCCAGGTGTTTCTTGACTTCCTACTTTTGCATTCCAGTCCCCTATAATGAAAAGGACATCTTTTTTGGGTGTTATTAGTTCTAGAAGGTCTTCACAGACCCACTCAACTTCAGCTTCTTCACCATTACTATTCAGGGCGTAGACTTGGATTATTGTAATATTGAATGATTTGCCTTGGAAATAAACAGAGATCATTCTGTCGTTTTTGAGATTGCACCCAAGCACTGCATTTTAGACTCTTTTGTTGCTATGATGGCTACTCCATTTCTTCTAAGGAATTCTTGCCCACAGTAGTAGATATAATGGTCATCTGAGTTAAATTCACCCATTCCAGTCCATTTTAGTTTGTTGTTTCCTAAAATATCAATGTTCACTGTTGCCATCTCCTGTTTGGCCACTTCCAATTTGCCTTGATTCATGGACCTAACATTCCAGGTTCCCATGCAATATTGCTCTTTACAGCATTGGACTTTTACTTCCATCACCAGTCACATCCACAACTGTGTGTTGTTTTTGCTTTGGCTCCGTCTCTTCATTCTTTCTGTAGTTATTTCTCCAGTGATGTCCAGTAGCATGTTTGGCACCCTCTGACCTGGGGAGTTCATCTTTCACTGTCCTATCTTTTTACCTTTTCATACCATTCATGGGGTATTGAACAGTAATGGAATATTACTCAGCTATAAAAAGAATGAAATTCCACCATTTGCAGCAATGTGGATGGACTTAGTATTATGCTTATTAAAATGTCAAAGACAAACTTACATTTAAAAATAAATATGTTATCACTTATATGAAAATCTTAAAAAAATAAGTGAGTGTATGTTTAAGAAAAACAAACAAGACTTCCCTGGTGGTGCAGTATTTAGCAATCTGTCTGTCAATGCAAGGGACACAGGTCCAGTCTCTAGTCTGGGAAATTTTCACATGCCACAGAGCAATAGGCCCACACACCACAACTCCTGAGCCCGCACTCTGGAGCCTGTGCTCTGCAACAGGAGGAGCCACTGCCCTAAGCCTGCGCACTGCAGCCAAGAGTAGTTCCCGCTCACCCCTGCTAAAGAAAGCCTGCACCAAACAACACAGATCCAGCAACAGCCCAAATAAATAAATAAAAAATCCTTAGAGATATAGAGAACAAACTAGTGATTACCCGTGGGAGAGTGAAAAAGGAGGGACAAATAGGGGTATGGGTTAAAATACACAAACTACTATTAATATGAATAAAATAGATAAGCAACAGGGATATATTGTACCTCACAGGGAAACATAACCATTATTTTTAACAACTTTAGAAATAATATAATCTATAAAAATATAGAATATCTGGTTGTGTACCTGAAACTAAGCTAGGATTATAAATTAACTATACTTCAACTTTTAAAAATAGAATATATATTTATGTATGTTTATATCTGCATAAACAGTGAAAGAATACACAAATACCAGTTAGAGCAAAACTTCCAAATTTGTGTTATATTTTTTTGATTTCTAAATATACATATGTTACCTGTACAAAATATCAAAATTTTAAGGAAGTTTACTGTCATGAATGAAGAACAACAAAGCTGTGATAAACAACTGTTTACTTAATTGTCTATTCATTTAGTTTGTTCTCAAATATTAGAATTATACCAAGAGTTCACCCAATATGCATGATAGCTAATGCTTCCCCTTGCTATGAAAAAGGGATGGGTTGGGGGTTTTAATGAGTTCAGAAAATTGTCGGAGTCAGAGAATTGTTGGAGTTACACTATCAGGGCAAAAGAACTAGAAAGAGGAGCCTAGTAGTTTAAATGAAATAATAAAGCCCTAATACACAATTAATACTCAAAAAATGTAGACTTGAATATTCATCATTAAGTATGAGGTACTGACCAGGAGATCATTAGATGATAACAACAATAAACAGCAATGAGTGTTTGTCAATGACCCAAGTTAGTTTTAAAAGTAGTTTTTAATTCTCTTTGATAGTAAGTGGTGTTAATTAAAGCAAATCTCAAGCTATAATCTAGCTCAACTAAACATTGTTTTTAACAAATCACACACAAAAAAATTAGTGTAACTTTTTCACTAAGTTCAATAAAGCCCCAGCTCTTATCTTAGGTGCTCTGACTACACTTTATGTGAAGATCCATTCAGACTTACACAGTCACATTCTAGAGACAAAAGTATGTGCCTTCTGGCAGTGTACAATCAGGGATGTTCCTGTTTAACAGCTGGAGCCAAGACTAATTAGAGGTCAAACCTCAATGCCACCTGTAAAGGTATAGGGTATAGACTCCCTAGATTCTTATTCTCTGTTCATGCAAGGGTAGGGAGTGATTAAAATATTTTAGGAAAGTCCACCTGTCTTGAATATCTTTAATTTCAACAAAGAAAGTTCATTTTTAACATTCATCAGGCTATGCAGCTAGCCATTAGTTTTACCAATAAACAACAATTTGGGACATTGCTTATGCTCATTAGAAAAGCAATCAAAATCTAAAGCTTGATAGTTTCTGCCTCAAGAGGATTGGTCCTTCATGGTTAGAATATCCAGCAAACCATCTCATAACTAGCATTTTTCACTAGTATTTTATGCAATCACCCTTTGACTCTAGAGTTCAAGTTTGAACTAACGCATTCATCGTAACATACTGATTTTGCTTAAAAATTTTAAGGTTAATAACAAACATCAAAATCATGATGATATGGGTTTTTTTAAAGGAGAAAAGAGGAAAAAATAGCTTGGTAGCATCATTGGAGAGCTAGAAAGTCAGCTATCTTATCTTCAGGCCCTCAGTTATTTGTAGTTACTTGTATCTCCCCCTAAGAGGACTGCAGGAAAGCAATATCCTTTAAATAGAAGGTTTGTTTCAAGTTGAACAAGAAGGTGTGTACCAAAGTGCGCAGTGGAAATTCTTTGGAAAGTGGATACTTATGGGAGCTAAGGTTGGATTAGAGGTTGTGCAGAGTGATATGTGGATGAGTGTCCATGTAATGTGTGACCCTGAACAAGTTACTAGGCCTTGTTTCAGTTTCCTCAGTTGCAAATGGAGATTGGGGCTTCTCTGGTGGCTCAGTCAGTAAAGAATCTGCCTGAAAGGCAGGAGACCCAGGTTCAATCTCTGGGTTGGACAGATCTCTTAGAGAAGAATGTGGCAACCCACTCCAGTATTCTTGCCTGGAGAATCCCATGGACGGAGGAGCCTGGCATGCTTCAGTCCATCGGGTTCCAAAGAGTTGGACACGACTTAGTGATTAACACTTTCTTTCTTTCAAAGCCCTTAGTGAGAATAAAGTAGTTAATACTTATACAGTGCTCAAAAATAATGTCTTTAACAGTAAATGCTCAATAAATGTTAACTGCTATTTTTATATCTTCCCCTTTTCTTCATAAGGTTATTTGTAAATTTTGTCAGAAATTTATGGAATTATAAGGTTAGATATAATGGGGTTTGCATGCCAGATCAAAGAGCCTGGACATTTCTCAGATTTCATTTTTCCAAAAAAGTAGTCTTAAAATTGGTGATGAGAATTTTGAAATAACTATTTCTTATTGGGAAGTGGATGTTTAAATTTAAAATATACTGTTCAAGCTTTGCACGATGGCAGTATCATAGCCAATGAGGTTTACCCAAGGCGCGATTATTGCTAATTGAAAATATATTGTTCAAAATAAATTTGTCACAAAAGTTTTAAGATAGTATTTTATCATTGACCAATTAAATTATGTATAAAGAGATTGTTGAAGTGATTCAGTACTATATGATCTTTATTATTTCCTTAGTTCTTCAAAGACCAGTTCTTCCATTAGAAGATGCCCTCAAACAAATTCAGGAATCCAACCTAAAATCAGAAGTAAACCTTCCCTCTTCCCACAGACCAATAATAAACTGGAGGTAAGTAACTTATGATTATCATGTATAGTTACTAATATATGGTAATTAAATAGCTCTCTAGTTGCTGAGTTTACAGGCCTTTTCATCAATTACTCCTCACCTCTATTTTATAGTATACTATTTTATTTTCACACATTGAATTGAGGTAGAGTGTAATACAAATTGCTTCAAGAGTAAGTAAAAATTTTAATTTCTTGTCTTTAGTTTTACAGTGTTGCTTATGTTGACTAATTTTCTATGGGAACTATCATAAAAACCATTTCAAAGTATTGATACTGGTTTTACTGAGAGGGAAAAAAAAGTTGAACAACAGTGATATAAATTTAGATAAAAAGAGTAACTTTATGGTAGAACTTTATGGGTTTTTCCTCACTGAAAATCTTTCCTGGATGGATATCTTTAAAAAAAAAACTACTACAGTGCCTCCTGGTTCCTCTCTAGGTTAGTTTTAATGAATCATCTTGATTCAGTAGGATGGACCAACCAACTAGAGAGTACCCTCTGACATCCTGTATTTTCCATTTATTTACTATAAATGTTTCTTGAACCTACTATGTACACAGCAGTAGATCAGCCATTGTGAAGGGGATATGGAGAAATATAATATTCAAAAATATAATCCCAAATATAATCTAGGAGAAAGTGAAATAATGCTTTAAAAATTATAGAACAGTACCAAATAGGTAATAATAATAATATTTAATGTTTACTTATATAAAGATATGTATACATAATTCATATGTAGAGTATGTTAATATTTTACCTATTTATAATGTATATACTAAAGTATTTCCAATTTTAGAATACCTGTGGCAAACTGTTCCCTTAATGAGATCTAAGAACAATTAAATTCATTCTCTCAAGTCTTTATTATAGTTCAAGAAAGACCTCATGGAATAGAAGAATCTTCAGCAAAACTTTGAAGAAAATAGGAGTTAATCATGAAACAAGGGGGTAGATGGTATTCCAGACAGAGGGATGAGAATGTGGAAAGGCCAAGAGTAGTAGAAGGAATGATATGTTCCAGGAGTAAGAGTATGGCTGAATAACAGAATACAAAATAGCAATAGCTTCATTAGGTATGAGATTGGAGAAGTAAATACACCTGTATGCTAAGGCATATAAGCTTTATCCTGAAAGTTTAAGAGGCATCAGTGAAGGATTTAAGCAGATGGGTAATAAGATCCACTTTTCCTGTTTAACAACATATCCTTCTCTGTGGTGAACAAGTGTGGATAGCTGATTGAAAGAGGACAGCACAGACTATTTCAGTGTCTGTGACTGAAAATACTTAGGTCTGGGGCTCAAGAGAAAGGTCTAGACTTAGACATTAGAAGCCGAAACAATGGATGGGGTCAGCAGTGGAGATTATGTACTATGGCAGCAGAACTAGGATAGAGCATGACAGAAGAGCAATATATAGGAAAGTGAAAAAAGAGAAGCCTACAGATAGAAACAGTAGTTGCTAGAGGCCATATATAGGGAGAAGATGGAACTAAGCAAGTATAGACTTTCATGGGGAAAAAGCTTACGGAAATCAAATGGCTTCTAGGTAATCATTAATATGAGAAGTTTTACCAGCTGGGACACTGGCAGAAAACATGTAGTATTTAAAAGGGGTAACTGAAAAGAGGTTAGTAAAGAGACTGGGAGGCCAACAGAGGATGATGAAGCCACCCCAAAACTGACAGCAAACTCAGTATTTTCACCACAAACCTAAACTGTAAACAGCTGTAGCTGTATAAGAGGGCTACTAGGTAGAGGACCATTGCCACTGCTAAACCAAGTCAAGCGGAGAGGAAGCCTGAGAAGTGATTATCAAAAACCACTTTGTTCGGTCACATTCCCACCTCTCGCTAGTCCCTTTCTTTGTTCAAAACAGCCATAAATCAAAAGGCAGGGTATCATTCAGTCTCTGCCTAGCTAAGTGTGGGAAATGAATCTGGAATGGCAAAGAGAAAATATCCAGCTTAGAGGGAATATGCCCCATATAATTCAAAACAGAAAAGTCACTTTGGCAGTTTTTCTCAAAGAAATTTCAGTGGAGGGATGGAGACAGAAAAGAGACTGCAATGAGTTGAGAGGAAACTGCTGAGCGAGAAAGAAAAAATACCAACTGCAGCTTGTCTGTGAAAGGAAAAGAGTGGTAGAACAGTAGCCAAAGGGGATGTTGGGCCAAAATATGGCCTTTTCCCTTATGATGGAAGAACTATTATCCTGTTAAATATGGATGTCAAACTAATGAGTAACAGAAATGCAGTCTAGAAAGGTAGAAGATAAAAATGTAAAGTCTTAAGTACCTATTATGTGCTGTACATTGATTAGCAAGAGTTATAATATGAATGAAGTATAGTCCTCCACCCAAGAAGTGTTTGCAGTTATAATACTGTGTAATGGTAATTACACTGTAAGACTCAAACAATACTGTGAAATGTGGGCAGTTACAGAAATACTAGCAAAGTGATAAAGGGCTTTCCTGGTGGCTCAGTCACTAAAGACTCCACCTTTAGTACAGGAGACATGAGTTTGATTGTTGGCTCAGAAAGATACCCAGGAGAAGGGAATGGCTACCCACTCTAGTATTCTTGCCTGGAGGATCCCATGGACAGGGGAGCCTGGCAAGCTACAGTTCATGGGGTCGCAAAGAGTTGGATACAACTGAGTGACTAAGCATACACACACAAGTGATGAAGTACAAAATTTAAAGTTGGAGAGGAGACTTAAAGGATGAGTACAAATTGTCTACTAAAGAAGTACAGCTTGATTTCTGGCATGTTCAGGCCTACAGTGTTGTAAAAGGCAAAGACACCTGAGGAAATAGAATTTGTTCAGAGTAACAAGACTGTAATATATGTTGCTGGTACGATGAGAGATTATCTAGAAATGTAGATTGAGGTCAGATGTGAATGCTTGTATTTGAGCTAGAAGCTAGAAGGTTTTTATTTCATCCTATAACTAGTAGAAAGCCAATGGAGGTTTTAAACAGAGTGACATAGTCCTCTTTATATTGGAAGATAATTGGTATGAATGTTGGAGAATGAAAAGAATGGAAAGAAACTGGAAGCAAGGAGACTAGAGAAACTTGATGGGCTAATGCAAGTGACAGATCATTACTACCTAAACTAAAATAGTACTATTTTGTATAGTGAGAAAAGGTGGGACCTCCCTGTTCATCCAGTGGTTAAGACTTTGTCTTCCAGAGGGTGCAGGTTTGATCCTTGGTTGGGGAGCTCAGATTCCATATGCCTCATGGCCAAAAAAGACAGAACAGAAGCAGTATTGTAACAAATTCAATAAAAACTTCTAAAAAAAGAAAAAGACAGATCTAATAAAGAATAAAAATATTTTGAGATTAGAAGGAAAAGATAAGAGAAGTAAAAAAAATCAAAATGCCCTTTATGGCAGAGAAGAGACATAAATGTTTAAGAATGCTGATTAATCAGAAATGTAAGAAGTGGAGTATAAAAAATGGGAGCTGAAGAGGACCTGAGCTTACCTCCCATAACAAACAATTCAAAAATACATCCACATGTGGAAAAATTCATGGAAAGCTAACTGGAAACTTACAGAAGGACCCTTATATAACCAAGGTTGTAAGAAAGATACACATGTAATCAGGCAGGATAGGAAGAAAAGCATCAGGTAAGGAGTCTGTGCCTCTGGGAGAGGACTGAAAGGAAAAAGGAGATCATACAGGCAGACACCCTGAGAAGTGAGTGAGTCCAACTCTAGACTGGGCATCCCCATCCTGGAGTCCTGCACATAGAAGACAAGCCCCTCTGGCTGCTTGGAGAACCACTGGGAAGGCTAGCAAAGCCTAGACTCCACTCATGAGGAGAGTGCAAGTGTTAGCTTGCCACCAGACAGGGCAGAGAGAGGTGTACCCTAGTAGCTGCCGCCATGTCACATACCCCCGTCTGAGCCACATAAATGTCACCCTGCTTACTCCAAGCCACAATGGCCCTGGATCTCAGGTATTCAGGACCTGGGAAAATAGTCAATCTAAGGATCCAAATGTGTCCTGGGGGCCAGGGATATAGTCTAGATAGAGCAGTGTCCATTTCTGGTGCTTACTCAAATAGCACCCAAGAACTAGCCCAGACTTTGATGGCAGTGCAGGTGCTTGAATTCCCACAACCACCATGCCATGTTCAAGCCTAGTGCAGGGAGAAGGAAAAATACACACCTAAAGGAAGCAGAACAAGCTTGAGCCCAAATTTGAGGGCTTTTGCTCCCACAACTTAGGAGCAGATCTCACCCCTGACAGGACAGTGATGGCCACTGAACTTAGAAGAAGTACTGTCCCACACCTTGCACAGGCTCTAACTCCTCCATTACCAGCCATACTGCCTTTCCAGTGTGGTAGAGGCCAGCATACCATGAGGAAAGACATGACTTGCATGCACATCTAATCCAGTCCTCCCTCCAAATACATTGGGCACACACAGTCTGCATAGGGACACACCCATATAAGAATACCCCTTCAAGACTGTAATAGGTAACTCTTTCACCTAAAGTGAGAGACATAGAAAGTTAAGTAAATTAAAAGGGCAGAGGAACCTGCAACCTCAGATAGTCTACCCAGTGAGATTATCATTTAGAATAGAAGATGAGATAAAGAACTCCTCAGACAAGCAAAAACTAAAAGAATTCAGCAATAATAAACCTACTCTAAAAGAAATGTTGAAGGGTCTTCTCAAAATGAAAAAGAAGAATCTATAGGAAAGGGAAAACCCCAATAGGAAAGACATATATAGTGGGGATTGAAGATCACTTAAATAAGCTAGTACATAAATTAAAAGACAAAAATTGTAAAAAAAAAAAAAACTATAACTACAATAGTTATGGGATAAACATGAAGATGTAAAAAATTACATCAGAAACACAAAATGTGGGGGAGAGTAATGAAAAATGTAGATCTCTTAGAATGTGAATTTAAATGACTATGAGTTTAAAGCAAGTAGACATAATTACGGTTTACCATGGTTTCACAAATAGAT